TATTATACTAAGAATTACCATCATTACACTTAACCAGAAGAGAAAATCCACCATCTAACCAATGAATATTAAGCAGGGTTTTTTGTTTTTGTTTTTATTTTTATTTTTCTATTAGTAGACTCAACTGATATAAAGCCAATGGAAGATGAAAAATTCTTCACAGATCTATTAATCAATATACTTTCTTTCTGAAACTACCTAAGTATTACCCAAAAACACTTAAATGGAGAGTCAGGAGTATATCTTATCAAAACAACCCCTTCTCAAACATAGTACTCAGTGATATTTGGTAAAGGAATCTTTTAGACTAGTCAGACAAAAATAACCTACAGGAAATTAAGTTAAAAGGAAAAATGTATTTATGTAATGTATTTATGAGAAATACATTAATCTTTAATAACACTTTTGCCCTTGGGGCGCCTGGGTGGCTCAGTCTGTTAAGCGTCTGCCTTCAGCTCAGGTCATGATCCCAGGGCCCTGGGATGGAGGCTTGAATCAGGCTCCCTGCTCAGCAGAGTCCGCTTCTCCCTCTCCTTCTGCCCCTCCCCCCAACTAGTACACATAAACACACAGTGGCTTGTGCTCTCAAGTAAATAAATAAAATCTTTTAAAGAAATAACTAACAGTTCTCCCCTAAAGCAAAACAGATAATTAAAAATCACCAGAACTAGGAATTTTTCAAGCTATTAGCTCTAACTCTACTAAGAAACCACGGGGGAAAAAAAAAAAGAAAAGAAAATTATATAATCACAATTACACATCAGAAACTCCAAGATTAACAAAGGAAATGGGAAATTATACTAGAGGGAAAAAGTTGTAACATAATTTTTTTAAAAAACTCTCAAGATTTATGTTTTACTTTTGATTTATACTTTGCACTTTCAATTTATCTGAAGTTCACAGAATTCCCAACACTACCAACAAAGAAATTATACCACAACATAAAGATTCTCCTAAAGATGTAGAAAACTGTTCAGTTTCCCCACCTAGTTTTCCTTATTTATTTATTCCACATATTAGCTACACATCAGCAGCACAGCAGCTGCTTTTGATGTTTACCTATTCTGCACCTGCTCCAAGGAATTTGAACCATGCGGGGCGAAAACAAAAAACAAAAAAAAAACAGACATACACACAACTATGTTGACTGGTCTGTTTAATTCATTACCACTAATCACAAGTGGTCCTTTATAGCTGTCAATAAAATATATATATATGTATACACACATACAATATTATGCCAATATTTCCCTAGTCCACTTCATTCTCCCAAATAACTATTTTATACCAACCTCTCTTCCCCAATCTCCCAACATCTCCCCCACCTCCACTCTCTGCTAATGACTTTGCTTCCCATTTCACCGAGACAACAAGAAGCATTCAAAACTAAGTTGCACATGCTCTGACCACCACATCTAACAACCTACCTACATCTGTATATATCCTTTTCCCTCTGGTTACTATGGCTACTCATATTTACTCAATCTCTTCACTTGGTGCTGGATCCCATCCCCTCTAGCCTTGTACTCAAAGCCCTTGCTCCAGCAACTGCTTCCTTTTCTCTCCTTATCTCAATTGTCAACTCTCCCTTTCCACTGGTCACTTCCCTGTTAGTATAGTATACTAACATGCTATATAATCTCTGCATCTGTGATAGGCAGCTTCTAAGATGGCCCCCAATGATCAGTGCCCTTCGTATTAACAATTTTAGAATGTGCCCTCCTACATTTAAATTTAAGTAGGATTGGTCTGTGTGAACAATATGCAGAAATTACAGTGTATATTTCCAAATTAGGTTACAAAAGACACTAGCTCTCTCATATGACTGCTTCTATCTCTTTCTCTCTCTGATCATGAGGCCTCAGTATGGCCACCCATCAGTTACACCTATTCTGGCTCCATGTGTCCACAGCCTAAGAAACACAAAACCCATGGCTATTCTGTAGGTTAAGTGGAGAACTAAAGCTGTAACCAGGCATACTTATCTCTGGATCTGTCCAAGAGAGTGTGTGTTTGGCCCCGGGTCCTGCCTATGTGGGCTCTGGTCCTCATAACCATACCTTCAGCAGGGAAGGCTGAAAAGGCAGAGAGAGGCAGGACATACAATACAAACTCCGTGTACCCCAGGATTCAGGTGATCATTCCACCAACTTGTACTCTATCATAAGCATGTTAACTAATCTTGTATTTTTCCCCTTGCTTTTCTCCATGTATTTTCCTCTTATTTAATAAACCATGTAATATAAGCATTTTGTCCATGAACCTTTTCTCCTATAACCTTTGGGATGGCTTGCCTGGTAGTATACTCAGGAGTCTACCACTGCATTAGGATAATTTGCCACATGACATAGGTCTTTATCTGACTCTAGAAACAGAATTTGACAGTTACTCACTTTCTCTGTTTGAAACATTTTCCTTACTTAGCCTCTGGGTCATTACTCCTGGTTCTCCTCCTATCCCATTGGCCATGTGATTTCCATCTCCTCTGAAATGCTAGAACCACCTTACTACTCCCTAGATAGCATATCCAGTTTCACAGCTTTAAATAACATCTACAGGCTGATGAGTCCCAAATTTTTATCTCTAGTCCCAACATTACTAAACTCCAGACCATTTAAAACCAAACTTTTACTATCTACCTCAAAACCTTTTCCTCTCTTACAACATTGCAATGGTCTCCGAAATGCTTTCCGATTCCCAACTTAGACCCACTTCAGTCCACTCCCAACCCAGCAGAGTGATCCTTCCCAAACATAAATCAAATCATATTAAGCCTCTGCCCAAAATTCATCCATTACAGTCAAATCTAAAATCTATGACCTGCAAGGCCTTACCTGGTTTGCTCCCATCTCTACCCCCACCACTCACCAGCTTGCTCACTTAGTTCCTGCCATGATATAAACACTCCAACTGTGTTCCCATTTCAAGATCTTTACACTTGGTACTCCTTCCTCCTAGGGTGCTCTTTCCCCAAAGAGTTGCATGACTTGCTTCTTAACATCCTTCAGGTCACTGCTCAAATATCACCTTATTAAAGAGGATTTTCCTTTTCATCTTTTATAAATACAAACTTCCACCTGCCCACTCAACCTCCCCACCCCAACCCACAGCATCTCCCATACTGCTTATCCTGCCCTATTTTTCTTCATAGTTCAGACTATGATCTGATATATATTTATTTATTATTTTTTCATTGCCTGTCTTACTAGATATTAAGCTCCATGAGGTCAGCAATTTCTATAGTTTATTTTACTTGCCTAAAATCTTCAGAATGCGTAGCACATAGAAGGTACTCAACAAACATGACTGAAAAAATAAGTGAATGAGTAGGATGAATAGGCGAAATTTCTATAGTGAGCCTTAGCAGCAAGAAGTGCAGCTTTATACGAGGGCAAGAGGGTGCTGGCTGAAGCAGCACAGGCTCTGCAGGCTCTTAAGCCCAGCAGACTCCCAGAACTATTTGGAAGAAGGGCTGTAACACCAAAAGAGCGGTAAGGACAAGGCCACAGAAAAACTGTTCTGCGGTGATCGTGGCCCTGCAGGAAAAAATTAACTGAGAGGAAGAAATAACAACTTTACCAGAGAGAAACCTGAAAGATACCGTCTCGACCAAGTGATAAGTAACATCACCAGTAATGGGAAAAGTAAGTACTATGTGCTTCTTAATAGGATACACTGAAAACACAACATAACTTCTGTGGCATTTCTGCCAAAAGCATGTCACCTGAATCTAACCATGAGAAAAGAAAAAACTACTATTAAGGACATTCTATAAATGAGCTGGCCTGTATTCTTCAAAAATGCCAACGGCATGAAACACAAGGACTCAAGAAATATTCTAGATTAAAGGTGACCAAATAGACATAATGACTGAATGTAATGCATAAACCTGGATTTTATTTTGCTAGAGCGGACATTATAGGGATAATTGGCAAAATGTGAACAGAATTAGTAGATTAGATAGCTGAATTCAAACAACGCTAAGTTCCTGACTTTGATAATTATATGGTTATGTAAGAAAATGCCCTTGTTAAGAAATACACACTGAGGTATTTAGTGGTAGAAGGGGACGTTATGTCTACAGTTTATTCTCATAAGAGTTGAAAACAAAATTGTTGTATCAGAGAAAATAAAACAGCAAAACGTTACCATTTGGGAAATCTGAGTGAAGAGTATATGGGAATTCTTTGTAGTACTCTTAAAAAAGTTTTCTGTAAGTCAGAAATTATGTCAAAATAAAAAAAATTTTTAAGTGAAAAAACAAGCAAAAAACCTAACAAAAGAGGTTCAAAATAATTGGGAAAAGTATTTTTTTTTTTTTTTAAAGATTTTATTTATTTATTTGAGACAGAGAGAATGAGAGAGACAGAGAGCACATGAGAGGGAGGAGGGTCAGAAGGAGGAGCAGACTCCCTGCCGAGCAGGGAGCCCGATGCGGGACTCGATCCCGGGACTCCAGGATCATGACCTGAGCCGAAGGCAGTCGCTTAACCAACTGAGCCACCCAGGCGCCCCGGGAAAAGTATTTTCAATATATTAGCTTCTATTTCAGATTTTAAAAGATAATCTCTCTAAATACTCAAGTTTAAAATTAAAAATTATATCCACAAAAGAAAAAACTATGTATCACTAGATTCAGAATGTAATTTTTTAAATACATTATCTACCAGGCTAACATACTAGACTTTTCCCTGTATCTAAATTTCATTTGAAACAAATGCCATGAAGGAAACTATCATAACACTGATTTTCAAAGAAATACTGTGATTTCCATATAGTATTTCTATTTCAGTTATTTAAAACACATTTTAAATTAACATAACCCGAAAAATAACACCCAGGATACTTTGAGGATTCAATATGTCCTACTTCAACTGAAAAACCATGAAATACTATAGAAAAACTTTACAACAGTACAAATGTAAAAGAGCTGATTTTACTTATTTATATTCAGTGTCAATTAGCTGTTTCAAAAAGGAGACAAAACAAAGCAAAATTACCTTCATGGACTGTAATGCCACAATTGTCACACTGAATTATTTCATCAGCATCCTCGCTATTATCTCCAAGACAAACACAGCAAATCAGAATGTGGTCCATTTTTTGAGAACTCCAGTTTTGACTCTTCTCAAGAATCAGCGAGTCCTAATATTAAAACATACCAGAAAATCACATATTTAAATTAAAAAATAATTTTAATAACTATAATCCTCAAAGTTGTTTTATGCATTTCTAAAATTATGTTGCATTCTCCATTATTTTAGTAATCTAGTTTGAAATTTAGTAATTTCAAAACACTTGAAAAGTCCATCTCTTTGTCAAATGACCCTCTAAGCACCTTTTAACTTTTCATTTTCTCTGCAAGTTCCATATTCTCCCTCCTTTAAGAAATCAAAAAGCAAGCATACAACTGACGACTCTTCATCTGCTTTGCCATTCTGGATTATAGTCTGACCCTTAAACTAGAAGAAAGGAAAAATTAACCCACAGGTAATTATTAATCCTACAATGGATTTAAAAATTATAAGACATGGTTCCTACACTTTGGAAGCTTATAATCCTGCTTTAAGGGAGACAAGACACACATATATCAAACAAGAAAAAATCAATCCAAGATAACATATAAGCAAATATGTACGTGATGGCATAATTACAGACTCTATACTCCTTAACTGCTGAGGAATTCAGAAGTTTCAGGTCATCAAACTACTGGATGATAGATCCAAGAGAGCCTGCAAAGGCATATCTGTATATACAGGTACAGAAAACCATCTAAAAAAGGATCCAGGTTGTCTAGTTGCTAAAGCATGAAGTATTCTATTAGGTTTGTATCAAGAAATATCTAGTATAGGGTGCCTGACTCAGTCGGTTGAGCATCTGCCTTCAGATTGGGTCATGATCCCAGGGTCCTGGGATCGAGTCCCACGTTGGGCTCCCTGCTCCGCGGAGAGCCTGCTTCTCCCTCTGCCTCCCTCCCTCTCTCTGTCTCTCATGAATAAAGAAAATCTTAAAAAAAAAAATCTAGTATAAACTGATAATAAAGATACTGAGCTAACTATAATATAAAAGGAAAAAGGAAGACATAATAAAGATAAAATTTCAAGAAGGAAAAGAATTTGCTTTGTTTAAACTGCATTACAGATTTAAACTTGAAATGATTAACAATATAATGATTCTTATATTATTAGACTGGGCATTATATAAGATAGCACTTGAGTTTATGTTTTCATTTAAGAACCTAACCACTTTTTTTTATATTCTTTTAAACAGACCAACATCCACAGGTAACACATAGAGTCATCATTTCATAGCAATCTGTAAATGACATCTGAATGACATTTGAATGTCACATCAATAACATTTTTTTTTAAATTCTGTGTTATACATCTAAACTTGCAGCTATCTGTAAAACAAATCAGAAAAGAATGCAAAGTCAACAAGGAGGCGGTGTCCTTGCTCTAGAGAATCCTAGTACTTTAAAATTGTGTATTTTGGGGTGCCTGGGTGGCTCAGTCGTTGGGTATCTGCCTTCGGCTCAGGTCATGATCCCAGGACGCTGGGATCGAGCCCTGCCATCGGGCTCCGTGCTCCTTGGAAAGCCTGCTTCTCCCTCTCCCATTCCCCCTGCTTGTGTTCCCTATCTTGCTGGGTCTCTCTCTGTCAAATAAATAATAATAAAATCTTAAAAAAAAAAAAAATACTTACCTTTAAAAAAATAAAATAAAATTGTATATTTTGTTTTGTTTTTTTTTTTTTTTGCTCCTCTTTGTTAAAAAACCAAAGTAGTTTGTGAGCTTTGGACATGAGTACCAAATAAAGGTAAAACCTTCCTAAAAAGAAAACTCATGGTTTATAGTACTTTCGTACATTGAGCAAAACGAAAATCTACCCAAATGTTCACCCCATTAGCTATGCTTCAAATTTAAAAGCATTTGACTTAAAGTCTAATGTTCTTGGGTTTCATTCTCAGTTCTCATTTAATAACTGTTGAACCTCGAAGCAACAGTTTTCTCATCTGTAAAATGGGATGGCAAAAGTAGTAACTACCTGATGAGACTGTTGTGAAAATTAAGATAATTGTATGGTAAAAATGTTCCTGAGATATACTAGGTACTCAATAATAATGTTCATTTCCATTCTCCTTTCCTAGTTCTTTGTAGGTGGTTCAAGAAGAGGAATATGAGCTGATCATTTATTATACTGAGGAATCTTCCTTGGAATCCCCCCAAAAGTTGTGACCCTCAATAAGTACTGCTACTTTAAATATTTTCCTATGCTAAGTCCCAAAAGACTTTTTTCCCAAAATACCACATCTAGGTTAAAAAAAAAAATCACAAACTAGAAAAAGATCTAGCCAATAACTAAAGTTTGATGATTGACAGGCTACTCGTGTAAAATGGGTTCTGTCAATACTTTTCTGGTGGAATTACAACGAATGAGCCCTTAAAAAAAGGTTTGCCCATGTGGGGAATAAGTAAATTTCTATGGATCAGAAAAACAAGCATTAATAGGTAGCTCTAATTCCATTATTTCCCTGTTCTTCCATTTTGCTCAGAAAAAACAATAAATGTCTAAATTGTGTATCTGTACAATTTCTCTCTACACATACTATCATTTAGAGGCAGAGAAAACAAAATCAACTGGTATTTCTGGGATCCCCATCATTTGAGACTCTTACCAGAAATGTAATGCAGAGAGAGAAATGGGGGGAACTTGAGCCCCACCAAATAAATGACTGACAGATAATGCTTCAGTGGGAAAATCTTAGTAACACATTCTCTTAAAAAATTATGTTCTAAGTTGTCTTTAATACATCAAATAAGGGTTTGAGCACACTTATCAGAATATAAAAGCAAATTTAGTAACAATTTTTATCAGCATATTTCTGAAGATGTGTATCATTTTTTTAGCTTCTGGGCAAAATAGTCAAGCTAAAGTTTTTACCAAAAAATGTATTATTTGAAAATATGGTTTTTACATAAAAATAAGAATTGGGAAAGTAGGTTTTGAATGGCACAAGAGTATCACCTAGGATAGAACTTTAATATTATGTCATAACTTAATGGAATCTAAGGGCAATTAGAAGAATAAATGGGGCACTATAGTAATAAACCAATGACTATAGTAAACTAATTCATTTTTTTCCCTTGGGATTTAAAATTTACACCTAAAATGATATTGTCCATGGGTTTAGCGTTTATTTATGTAATCCACAAAGATGATTATAAATAATAATATACAACAGGGTAAATTCTAAGTTTTATGTGTGTTTAATAAAAGGGAATTCCTGAACACTTCATGCAAAACAAGAATTAAAAGAATCCTATTGCTCTGAATATGAGAAAAACTTACTACACCAAAAAGTTTGAGCAATAGGTCTCCAAGTTTTTAAAGAAAATTAAATTCTCAAGAATCTGAAGTAATTTTTGTACAATATTTCGAACTATCTTTTTATGTATTAAAGCAGTTGTTTTAAGGGCACCTGGGTGGCTCAGCTGGTTAAGCATGTGCCTTTGGCTCAGGTCAATGATCCCAGGGTCCTGGGATCAAGTCCTACATTGGGCTCCCTGCTTGGCGGGGAGTCTGCTTCTCCCTCTACCCTTCCCCCCTGCTTGTGCTCTCTCACTCTCTCTCCAGTAAATAAAATCTTTAAAAAAAAAAAAAGCAGTTCTGGGGTGCCTTGGTGGTCAGTCGGTTAAGCATCTGCCTTTGGCTCAGGTCATGATCCCGGGGTCCTGGGATGTAGCCCCACCATCAGAGAATTTGATTCTCTCTCTCTCTCTCTCTCTCTACCTCTGCCCCTCCCCACTGCTTATTCTCTCTCAAGTAAATAAAATCTTAAAAAAAAAAAGCAGTTGTTTTATTTTGAAATGTATAAAAAGCAATTGATACTTAAGTCAGAAACCCCAAATAGAAGTGGCTATTTATAAATTTTGGCAAAAATTTTAATTACCAAAAATCAGATGACAATTGCCATTTCTTCACATCCATTTAACATCTAATAATCCATTTAACATAAGAGAGCCTTTTATGAAAAGAAACCAAAAAACTTCCACCTGAAAATTTCTACTAAATTATCTTCTATCAAATATTAATCCTCAACCAAAGCTCTAGTTCCAAAGTCCTGAAAATGTGAACCATTCTCTGAAAATGCTACACACCCATCCCCAAAAGATTTACTTCAGAAAA